CATGGCCCGATGGTCCCCAGTGTCACCGTGGGGGGTCCCGCTGGGCTCCCGCGCTCAGCTCGGAACCTGGGGGGAGAGAGGAAAAGGGAGGGTTAGTGCCCAGGGAGGCTCGGGAAAGGACTCGGGACAAGGTGAAGGGCTGGGACTGGGGTTGTCTCCCGCGGAGCATCGTGGACACGCGCGGGAGGCAGGAAGGGAGAAGCGCCACGTATCCGCCGGCCTCCCTGGAGCCGCTTCCAACCGGAAAAAATACCCGTCCGGCCAGCTTATCGTTATGAGCGTGGGACAAAGCGCGGGCAGGAAAGCCGGCGAGGTGCCCGGTCCGGCACCGCTGTGCGCAGGCTCTGCGCTCTCCCTGGATCGCGGAGCAAAGGGCTTGTGTTAATCTTGGGGGTCTGAGGCTCTTCCCAAGCTTTAATCCGGCCTCCGTCCTGGGAGAGGGGCACAAAGCTGGGAGGGGAGGGACAGGCAGCCGCGGAGGGCAGGATGGGACCATAAATCCAGAGGGGACACGTCCAGCGCAGGCAGCTGGAGCCTGAACCAGGGGCTGTAAATGCCCAAAGCAGATGGTTTTCCGGGAAGGGAGAGGCCCAAATGGCCGGAGCGCTGTCCCGGCGCTAACAGTTAACAAGCCCTGGTGGCCTTGGGGACAGACCTTGGGCACGATGGAGAGGGCGGCCAACAAAGCAGCAAACAGCCCCCACGCAGCCCCTCCACGTGCACGGTGCTTCCTCCGCCCCACTACATGGATGAGGAAACAGAGCCTCAGGGGGTTCTGCTCCCTGCGGATGAGCCCCGGAGTCTCTCCCCATTTCCAGACTGTTTTTTTGGTGGCAGTTGAAAGCACGTGGTCCCATAACCCGCTGGATTTACCCCAAACCATCGTGCCCACGGGGATGCTCGCGCTCACCTGGACCACGCGGGGAGGCTCCCGCGGCGCAGGGACGTCGCGCTCCGCGGATGCTCCCGGCCTGCCGCGCTCCGACCCTCCCGGTCCCGTCCCTCCGGCAGCAAAGTGAGCCCGGAGCCTGCGGGAGCCTCATATACCCGGGGAGGAAGAGCCACCCTGTTAACCCGCTCAGTGCCAGCCCCATCATTAACCCGCTCGGTGCCGCACACCCCCCAGCCGCTCCGGCCCTTGCACAGACACAATTAACCCCTGCTCGCCTCTTCCCTGCTCCTCTTTTTATTTTCACACCACGTCCTGATTTCAGGACAGGCTCCTTCTCCTCCCTCGGGGGTTGACAGGTGGGAATCAGGCGCTCTGCCCATCCCAGCACACGGAACAGCAAGAACAGGGTGGCCAAACCAGGTCCCCCTCCTCATTCTGCCTCTCTGCCCAGAGGAGCTGGGTCCAGCCTGAGAATGGGATCCCGGGGATCCTGCTGGATCTGCTTGTCCAAGGATGCTATGGGCACCCTCACTTCCGAGCCCAGACTCCAAAAGAGCAGCCGGCAAAGGGAACGGAGCAAAGAAAGGTCCCTCCAGCACCTTCCCCATCGGCACGGAAAGGGTCAAAGGGAGCTCGGGG